ATGTCCAGTTTGCGCTCGTTTAATGCGATGGCCGTTCGTACCAGTAGTAAAGATCGCAGCCGCGCCGGCTTTTTGCGTCAAGTGCTGCTGCATACATTCATCGTGTCATCGACTAAATGACTAATCAAGATCGTTTGCGCCAGCGTTAAAGCAGTATTTGCATTGCAGCCCATGTCGACTTTCACACAAATTTCGAACCTCTGTCGATGCGAACACGTTCGTATTCATAAATTCTAAAATATACCTTATATATTTGTTATAAATTGTACAATTCAAGTTATAAATTATTTTCTGTATATCCTGACAAAATTTATTTTTGGCCCACTCTAAATTCTTAAACCTACGGCAAATATTTGCCTATAGTTTATAACATCGATTACGCCACTGATCCGATAAAGATGCAAAAACATTGTTGTTAGTTTAATTAAACATAATGAGCTCAAAGTAGCAGTGCCTTCGATCGATATTTAAGAAGCTGTCTTCTGGTTACAAATTGATACGGTTTACGAACTTTAAGAAAACCAATTGTTCTTCGTTCTCTTTGAAGTTCTAACTTGCATCACCGATGTTATTATTTTACTTACTGGTATGAGAGCGGAAAACGATGGCAGTATCGTGATTTAGTTGTTTGCTTTACAGTTTAGAGGCACCGGGTTCAGCCCAAAGTGGAAAGCAGATTTTTTCATGTTAACCGCGAAATTCTGTGTTTCGGTGGAGCGACTCGAGAAATGAGTCGAAAATCATCCATATGCCAACAACATGACCAGCACCGTTATTTTTTGATCGTACTATAATGAGCAAGGGGAGTGGCCACGCTCTCTGAAGCGAGTGTCCGTTAAGAATGCAGTTGGTCTTCACTCATCTGATAATTGACTATTCAATATATAATTAGTATAAGATCCGAATCTTGTTGTTTGATTGATGACTAGAAATAAGTGCAAGGTATAAACAGTCACTAAAGCAAAAATGTCATTTGGATGTTGTTTCGGTGTAGTCATCATGAGGTGTGTTGAAGGTGTGATGTAAAGATTTGACTGCATTTACTTCAAAGACTTTGTCGACCGATGCTCTTCCTTCCCTAGTTATCATGACTCCATTGATCAGTAGGCACCGTTTTATGTTTCAGTTAATACTTTCATGTTCAAGAACCGATTATATGATTGCCACTCTGAGCATTGTTGAAAACAATCGATTTTGAAGTTTTTGTTTTTATTACCTAGAAAATAACTCCTTTAAATTTTAATACTGTACTCACTCGCACTGTGTTCCCACATTTGAGATAACTTTTTTACTGAAAGTAGAAGTTAGTATCAGGCTATGCGTTACCATATGTCTGTTGTAACAGCAGTTTTTTAGCACCGAATGATACTGATTTTTTATTCTCTATGATTTGCTGAAAAAATCGGTGTTTACATTATTATTTCGATTGTTGGCATTGTTATATGTTCTTTGCATGACATTAGAATAGATATGTTTATGACCGTAGCGCACAGCAAATACTTTTTTCAGCGATTCCATAACTTGGTAAATGCCCAGTTATACAAAAAAACTTTACATCTTTGCACGTAACTTGTCGCTCAATTCATGAGGATCCTTCAGAGTCTGGATCAGGTGATGCAGCATTGATTTTTTGAAAACCATGGCGTTAGCGTATAGTCGGATCTGTACGCTTTGTCGCCCACCTTCGATTTGCAACTGGCCACCATATCTTGCAGGTGGTAAGACCGATCTCTTGGATGTTCGCTAAAATCTCAGTTGCAGAGCTAATGTGGTTGACCATTACCATGATGATCCGTTGGTATAGCGGGCTAGCTGCTTTGGTAGACAGCTTCAAGCTGCGTCATAGTGCCTTATGATCATCAGCCGAAAAAGCACCCAAAAATACGAGAACTGCGTACGTTACTGTAGCGTCAATGAATTACCACTAAGCCTGTCAGCGAAGCCAGTACACGTAATCTGTTATAAGGATTGGTAGCTATTAATATTTACTGGCATATAAATTTCATCATTCATAGGGTACAGGGTCAACAAAATTGAGAAAATGAGCTTTTCTGTCAACACGTAGGTAAAATACGGTGTATTTAAATTAAAGATGATTAAGGGTTCCCTGTGTAGCTATTGACAAGACATAAAGTGTTGCAGGACCACTTACAAAATTTTTGACAGAATATACAGCAATGCGAAAATCACTAATTAATGCGCCAGCAACAAATAACACAAGTCACCCAATATGATCGCTGCTAACAAAATCTTTTGTGCACTTTACGTTTTGTAGCATATTGTTACTGTATAACTTTAACGCATAATCGATCAGTCAGTTTCGTTGACCATTTATCGTTTCGAGTCACGAATGAGGACGCTTCACTGAGTTTCCAACGTTCCCGATCCGGCGCTGTCATTTACGCTTCGGCAGAAGATAATCAGAGTCTGGAACAGAATCCTTCCATAAACTTGTCCAAGGTTATTCTTTGCGGTTCACGGATGTTTCAGCCAGTCGGTTTGGCAAAATGTAGCTGTTTCGCCTTTCTTTTTGAAGGCATTCGTAAGACGTGACCGAATCATTGCATCAGTAACTTCTTAGTTTGTAGAAATAGTTATTTTAATGCGCGAGTTATTAAACTGAAAGAATAATAATAATTACACTACTTAAGAATTATGAAAACTGGTAAAAGCGGCTAGCTGCTGAATGCTAGTACAAGTCTGCTGTAGCAGTGACCGTGATTGGATGTTATGCAGTTTGAAAATTCTCTTCCTTGAACAATAAATTTCATTAACCTCAGAGAATTGAGCTTTTTGGTTGTTTTTGGATGATTTATTGTATATTACAGGGTTTTTCACTCTATTGATATTAACTTTCGTCTTTTTTTCGCATTAACAACTTCTGTAATGGCATTTGGATGAAGGCTGAGCATGATCTAAAGTTGATGCGGTTCGCTCATCATTGTTGCATTTAAGCCTTTTATATGGTTTTTTTCTGGTGTATTATTTTTGTTTAATTTTACTTCTGATATTTGTATATGTGATGCATACTTTCTGTTGTATCTTCCTTGTTTTTATTCCCGAGGAAGACTTTATTTTCTGTACATCGATTGCAGCATTAATATGTAGCGAAAAGACTACCAGATTGCCCCAGTCGGTTCCTGAAGAACTTGTCGGATATGCTAGTATAAATAAATAGAATTAAATTTGAGCCTAACATTTGCGTTGCAATGAAATGTTAATGTAATCATTATTTTTTTATGCACCCTATGAGTGGCTTAGGCGAGGCAACGCATGAGAATCCTATCATCAGTCTGATAACAAGCGAAATATTCTCCAATTTTTCTGTTACAAGACGGTGTAAATCTTACGCCATTCTAAGCAGTTTTTCATTGGTTCTTTATACCTGGAACCAATCATTGACCAGGTTAAGAGAGAAGGAACCCAACGGTAAACGAGGAGAAGACGACAGTGCTGGGAATATTCTCCACAGTCGCCGTATTTGACATGAGGGTTTGTCATAAATGCAGAAGCTGTCATCCACCGAGGTAACGGCGTTCAATGATCGATCTTCCTAA